ATCCGATCATGCAGCCCGCGGGTCGACTAGACACAGGAAAGAAGAGAGAGGGCGGGAAAGACGAAGCTCAAGAAGAAAGATACAGTTACAAGGGCACCCTGCCCAAAATTATAGTTATACGCAAGATTAAGGGCGCCAACTAATCAGAGCTCCGTCGCAGCCACAAAAAGAAGCGCGTAAGCAAAAAGCGTTGCGCGACAAAAAGAAAGTCAAAATTCCTAAATTCCTAAATTCCTAAATTCCTATTTACGCAAAAATGCAAAAAGAACTTAATTAAAGCACAAATCCCGAAAAGAAAGTTCGAAATTCCGAGAGCCATCGAGGGCTCGACAAGATTCGAAAAAGAAATTCAAAAAAGAAGTAAAACTTCCCGCGCGATCACCGCGCCAAGAAGCCGACAACAGAACAAGAAAGAAGCGACGTCAAACATTATTAATCGCGCCTCTGTCGGCGCGCCAGCCACTCAATCGACCATCCCGAGACTTGCTCAGCCCTGGCCCCAGCCATCTGAAAAAAAGCGACGTAAAAAGATGAAGAAGCGAGGACACTGATGCAAGTTTCCCTTCGATCCCGATCTCCCGTAATTGGCCCAACCTTCCCATCCTAGGACCCCTCATTGTCGTCGCGCAGAAGATCGCGCGGAACAGAAATTGGTTCGTCACAACGTGGCGCTTGCCACACTGTCTTCGACTCAGATTGAGGTATCGACGAGGAGGGAGATCAGGGCTGTGAGATTGGTTGTGAGAGAGAGAGAGAGGAAGCTTATCTGTGACGATGCTGTCGACATTGCGCGCTGCTGTGGCGTCTTCATGAGAGATTTGTGCCTACGTGGCACTATGCTGTGATCGGATCTTGTCAAGCTTGTCTCTGGGATACTGTTTGCTGACGTGCAAGAGGGGAGATGTCCGAAGGAGGGGTGGGGTTTGAGGGAGATCTATCTACGATGACATTGATGGATACTTTCTCTTCCACCCTCTTAAGTCTTATCACCTTCCTTTCAGCTTCGTCCTCTAGTTACGAGACATTGTACTTAAGATCTAGGCTGGTCCCCAGGCGGCCCA